ATGCTTAATTAATCTTATTTTTTATTATTAAAGAGTATGTCATAAATAGTTTTACTAGTTTTATAATATTTTTTAATTTATAATCCAAGTAAAAACAATAAATAATTTATTGAACACACCAGTTCAATCATAGTTGGCTGAGTTGTAAATCAAAATAAGAACTTATAAAAACCTTAAAACAACAATATATAAAAAAAGGAACCTGGGCTGGAGTTGAGTTCAAGAGTGCTTGAGCTTTGTCCAGGTGTGGGCTCGTATCCAGGCCCGTTACTATTGATCCACAAATGACACGCTTCTCCTGTGCTCAATTGGAATTTGGGCAAACTTGCTGGATTAAAACGAGCGATGATTATAATGTTAAAAATTCTGAAAATAAATAAAATAAATTATGTGATGATATGGTTCAATTTTAAATTCTTAAATCCTCTTAAACACAAATAAAAAATCTAAGCGCACAAGAATCTATAAATAATAAATCAATACAAAAATAAAATTTAATTGGTTCATAGTTAAAAATCCAAATTGTTTCATAAATTTCTATTCTGGTGATAATATGATTGGATTTTGGTGTATATGAATTTAACACGATGAAAGCTTTCACATAATGGTTCGTAGATTCCTTCAACAAAAGATTTTTCTCTCCCTTTTCCTTTTCCTTTTCTGTTTATTTTTTTTCAATGATAGAAAAAAATATAAATAAAATCAGTAGCCAGGACTAAATGGGGAGGACATGACTTGGAATATTAAAAAAATCTACGAGGATAAAGGTGGAAAATAATTTCATTAATTAAAAAAAAAGAAAAAAACCTTTTGTCTCCATCTCCACAAAACAAACACGGTATGGAAAATAATTTCATTAATTAAAAAAAAAACCTTTTGTCTTTTTTTCATCCCATGCACGTGCATTCCTCTCAGTACAGCAATCCAAACCTAATTATATAAACTCAAGTGTACAGGCTTGTCCAGCTGTGATTGCAAAAGCCCTGCCATTCTGACTCTTGAAGTCAAACATCAAAGAATACGAGGGAAAGGGATGTGAAGCGGCCTTGGCCGAACACGTAAGGTACTGAAACCCCACCCCTAGTCATCGATCGTGGATGGGAAATGTCACAAAATACACCAGTTCTCCCAGACAACTGTGAGATTTTTTGCCAACCAACGAAAACCCTAAAATCCTTGTGTTCTTCATTATTCAGAGTGACAAGGGAAGATAGAAACATCAGAATAGTTTCATTCGTCCAAGATGGCTTTTATGAATCAAAACTAACACCTTGCGAAGATCTTGAGGATGGCAATTTCAATGGTGATATGGATGGGCAGGGCAAGAAGACAATGCAAACCATGTATCGGCGTGATCCTGACGCCACTCTACATTTAAGGGTTTCGTTTTGATGCGGACATTACCGGTGAATTGAAGGGTTTGGCGGGCCATGGCTAAGCAGCTGGCATGGCGCATGCCCCTTGTATGCTAATGACAGTGCAGCCATTATCAAGGGGAAAAGACTCTGTTATTAAACATCTACCGAACTTGTAGAACTCATTGATCTGGGCATCTAACCGGTTTGGGTCAACATCGAAAACCGTAATTGCATTGACTATTTAAAAAATATTACACCTTCTAAAATTATACACTCATCACTTCATTATTTCTTTTATATATTTTATGTATTGCAAAATATTTTTATATATCAATAATTACATCCATCCGTTTGATGACCCAGTACGCAGTTACTTCATCCCGGTCCTTCCTTTTGAGTTTAATAACATTGAAAAGAGCCTGGGCAATAAATCAAATAAAAAAATCTAAAGAAAAAGAACCAAACCAAAATAAATATTATTACTATTAAATAAATTATAAATTTAATTTGAAGGATAAAATTAAAAACTATAACTATAACTATTATTATTTTGAAATAAGAAAATTGACAAAAGGGCAAAGAAAACAAATAAAAAATTAAAAAGATACCAAACTAAAATAAATATTATAACTATTAAAAAACAAGTATACATTTGATTTGAAAGATGAAATTAAGAATTATAAAAATTATAAAAACTTTGATAAAAAAACTAAGAAAAAAATAAAAAAATAAAAGAACCGAATAAAAAATCATAAAAAAAATCAAGAAAAAAATAAAAAAAAATAAAAGAACCGAATCATATAATGTGAAGTACCTGGAAAGACTGATTTTTTGTTTTTAAGAGTAGTAAAATTGTATAAACATCATAAAAAGAGAATAAAACCCCTAAATAATTATCAAATGATAAATTGACTTTACTCTTAGAAAGGCAACATCCCAATAGTTTTTCAAGAAATAAAATAGTCATTTAACTATTTTAATATATAATAAATAAAAACATCTCTATAGTGAAACCTCATGGCATTTTAACTTCTCTTTTAATTTAATATATAGAGTGAAAAAGTAACACGTAATTGTAACTGAATTCAAGAACAAGGTATTCCATCCAGATGAAAAGCTCCCCTATTTTTTTTTAAGATTTTTTTCGTTCATAATATGGATCTGAGCCCAAACAATAAAAATTCTCAAATTGGCCCATTTAAAACGAAAACATCGAGAAGATCACCCCAACAACAAAATTTCCACCATAATCAAAACATGATAATAGCAACCCATTCAGAATCGCAAGGATGATGCCATTATTCTCGTAGAATCATTTGCAGCAGTACTGTAATAAGAAATTGGTAGCCCTTACAATTAAGATTTATTCACACGAAGAAGGGAAACAATGCCTTCAGAAACAGTACCAAGAACTGCCAAATCATGATTCCTGAGCCATAAAGGTGAGAATTCTGGTGCTTGGAAATAAAATTTTTGTTCACAACTCGTCCCTAATGCACCTCCGATGTGTGCTGAATTCTGTGCTTCACGATAAGACTTAGTCCCTAGTTGCTCAACAGCCTTGCGAAAATAAACTTTGTCAGCACTCTCATATTCCAGGGCACACCTTCGTAGAGCTTCCTCAATTTATCCATCTTTCTTGTACTTCTCTTGCAACTTTGGGATTTCTCGAAGAATCTCTGTGGCGTTTGCTATGCAGAGATCAAGAATGATGTAAGCTAGCTCTTTGACGTTGGTTGCTTTAATGGCACGAGGGTCTGATCTGAGGATTCTCACGCAGTCTTCATATCCTCCGATTATTGAGCAGGATTTCTCTATTAGATCAGGTTGTTTATCTTGCAAAGTTGCAGAACATTGGCTTGATGAGATGAGAAGCAGTAGAAGTACAAGGAATAAAGAAGGAGCCACTTTTGCTGATGCTAGATTGATTTGATATGATCATATGCCAACGATATTTTCTAGATTGTCCGATTTCAGACACCACCATCCAACCACCTCTACCACTTTTAATTTCAACTGATGTCAGATCATCATGTAATTATCTACTTTGCAAGCAACCTTCTTCTCATCCTTTTTTATCTAATTGGGGTTTTTTAGTGTGTGTGTGTATATATATAGATAATTAAATAATGAAGTAAAATTAACAAAATATGGAATGAGAATACCAACATCTTAAGAAAATAACCCTTATTAATCTGTATGATTAGCCCGTATAATCATTACTCAACTATATTATGTTAAAGAAGTTCATACCATACGAACAACAAACGCACACATATAAAAAGGGTCGGACCATCCGCCCATGGGCAGGCTACTTTCATTTTTCTTTCTTTCTTTATGGTTTAATATTGGAGAGAAAGAGCTTTGACAAATGCATGAAGCTATGAAATCTATGCCTTTTATGACTGCTGAAATATGACTGAAACAAAATTATTGTCAAAATTATTGTCCTCTCTACCTCTGTTATTTTTGGATGGGTTCTATTGGGAGCTTAGGGGGTTGTGATCGAGAGGAGCAACTAGCAAAAAGGAGGAGGTTAGCGTTCATGAGCTGTTGGAGGAAAGTCTATCATGGGTTGTAGTTGCTCTCTATTCATGCGTGGTGGAGCTGGTTGGCCGGATCGGATTTGATTGAAGGTGGAGTTGATTCTGCTATTGTCGTACGTAGTGGCTGCTGCTGTTGATCACAATGAAGAGGAGAGGAGCTGTTGGTTGTCGGCTGAAGGATGAGAGCTTTTTGTGTTGCTGGTGGTGAGGAGTTGCTGGCCGTGAGTTAAAGGGCATGGCTTGGTGTTGAAATGGCAGGCTATGGGTTTGTTAGAGATTTAGCGAAGGAGCGGGAGATGGTCGGTTCCTTCTGTTGAAAAGAAGCTGTTGGTTATATTTCATCAAATATTATTATTAAAAACAGCTATAAAATTATAAACATTATGTTTCTAAACCGTGATTGTGATTAAACATTGCAGTTATAAACAACAACATCCTAAAAATGTACCACTTCACCCTAAAAATATACTATTATCATTTTACATTTTACATGCGCAATCTATTCAAAACTTTATGGCATATACATATATTAGCAAAACATTAGTTCTTTAAACTTTATGGCATATACATATATTAGCAAAACAACATTAGTTCTTTCTTAATTTAATTCAAGTATCATATAAATGCTCAAATGGAGAGTTAGATATCTCTTTTAAAGTTAAAACATAATATTAAAAGATATAATTTAACTAATTAAATTTTATATTTATTTTTTAAAAATTATTAGTTGAAGTAATTTTAAACTTTAAATGACTAGAAATTTATATAATTATTAACTTTAAAATTTATAAAATTAATTAAAATACATACAAATAATTATATTAACAAAAAAATTTAGTGCCACACAGTACAAATTTGAAAAGCTAGGTGAGGACAGCACTTGTCCAATCAAATCTCAAAAGCTCCGAAAAGTCTTTTAAGAAGACGAAGAAGAAAAAAAAAAGAAGAGGACATTTCTTACTGGTTCCCATGCCTGCTATAGCATCATTAACCAACTCAAATATACAGAGCAAAAACAACTGCAGGATAATCATGTCAAAAATATGAATTTTGTTTATTGATTTACTAGTGTGAAACAATTGCAATTGAAGGGTAAAAAAAACAGAGAGAAGCTCGATGATGGCATGAGCTATTAGCTACAGGTTTATTAGGCCAATGTTCTCGTCCAATAAAGGTACAAGGGTCTTTCAAAAAGTTAAAACTCCTTTCACAGAGAATCCCTCCAAATCTTCTTGAATGGCTGATGTTGCTGCTTAATGGAATGAACCCGAGTTCGGCTTTGTTTTGGCTGATACAAATTATGAAGCTAAACCTATCCGATTTATCCTCACCTCCCCAAAATCTCAATCTTTCCAAAAAAGAAGTTCGCAGTATATGTATTCTGTCCAACAATGGCATTTGTGAATTTTGTGATTCTAATCACTAAAAAACCAATGGGGGATCGGGGATCATAACAGTGAAGAGAACGACTACCAAAACAGGTTACCATTACCATGTAATCCATCTCATGTTGGTGGTTGCCATGTCCCTGGCTTGAAGGTTGAACCAGATCCAGATGGTTCTGAATGCCTGTAAAAAAATACGTGAGCAATGCATGAGCATTATTGTGGAAGAAAGAATCATGAAAGCAATGGAGATTTTAACACATTGCATGGTATGAACATTCATTTGATATGTTAAACGTGGTAAACACATTTCATAGGCAGTTCCCATAATTTTGCACCTTACCATGCCTCATGGATGCAACCTTCAACAAATAGTCAGTCGTTATGAAGTTAACATATGATCTTTACGACTATCGTATCATGTGCATAGCATAGATGCTTTACTTACTCCGACAAAGGTTCTTTTGCTTTCTTTCCCCCAGCTTCTCCCTCTCTGCAAAATTTAACAACTGATGTTATGGCATGGACAAAAACTAGCTCCACTTGCAAGGATGTAATTGTAGGTAAAATTTCAATTGCTAGATATATTTCAAGGCACGGTACAACAGAAGCTTCAATATTACAATACATTATGACACTGTACAAGCTTGGATGATTTATCAGAAGCACAGTAAAATCTTATGATTAAATAAAACAATATAAGCTCAGGTGGTCAATAAGGTGGCCAGCTTCAAAGCATCACATGTTCACGCACTCATGCATGGGAGCAACCAAGTCTTGGAGCAGACCCAAGAGGGGAACATCATTGGTTGAAGAAGCAAACTGAATTGAGCACTGGTGGCTTAGAAAAAGAATTGCAGCCGACAGAGGTCCATTAAGATGACGAAAGTTTTTACTTTAACTAGCAACATAATGGGTGATCTCTGACCTCACAATCAAGGTAAGTGATAAAATGAAATTATCTCAAATGCTGAAGACAATTTTTAGCTGACCCACCTTGCTCTATCCACTGCATCTGATTCTTCCTCAAGTTTGTTACCTTTGAGAAAAAGCACCATAATGCCATATATGGTTAGCACAGAAGTCGGCAGAGAGTTAAAGTATGCATGTGGACATGTGTTATATTCAAAGTCAGTTGGGCATGACACGGTAAAACCTTTGGAAAATCCTTCATATGCAATGACATGTTTTGCAGCTAACAAATACAATCCTCAATTAATATTTCAGTGAAAGAATGTAATACCCTCAGAAGCAGAAGGAAATTGGCGAATGAAACTTTTCAAGTCTGGACCTCCAGTTTTACCTGTACAAATGGTGGATGAATATCAACAATTACATCAGCATGATTACACTGTTAAAAAAGTAGATTTTGGCATTAGCAACTTACCAGCGCTTGTGGATTTACGAGAACTGCCTTCTCTGGCTCTCCTTTCCTCTTCTTCTTGCTTGAGAACTTTCACAGTAAAAGAAATACATTGATTAAGATCCTTAACAAATCTAAGGAAGTTATGTGAAGTAGAGAAGAAAATGAAAAGGGTATCTCAACAGTCAACTTTTGTAAATCAAAAACCTTCAAGAAAGAAACAAAAATCGTTTTCAAATTATGAAGAAGACATAAAGAAAAGAAACAGAGAAAGATATGAGACGTCAAGGTCTTCAAAAAACCATTTATAAAACATATAGATATACAGTGCCCTGAAGAGACTGCATCATCAAACAAGTACTCACTATGTAGTTAAAATTTAAGGGTTAATTTAATGATTGAAGGGCTGGTTTAGGTTAGCTTGGGTGTTGTGAGCAGTATGGGAGCTGTGGCAATGTAGCTGCAGAAGTTGGAGACAAAACAATAAGTAGGAGACAACAAGCAATATTATAGGTACCAAGCCAACAAGAAAACATAAATAATATTATCAACCAGAAAATAGGAAGAAACAGAAAGATCTATATAATTCTACAAGCAACTTACGAGCCACATTCTGCTTCACAAGTTCACGCCTAGCCTCTATCTCAATCAGTTCCTGAAGAAAATCAAGTATATTTAAAGAAGAATAACGCAACTCCAACATTGTAGCTCACTAAAATGATAAAGAAGTAATAAAATAAACACTTATTTCTCCTGTGTGTCTTTTCAAACTCAATTGTCCCTCCACAGAATAGATATTCAAAAAGGCACAACACACTAATGGTGCATTTTACGTGTCAATGTTAACTTGTCCGGAGAGACCAAGAAAGGAATGATGAAGTCAATTCAGCCTCTGATGGAGTACTGTTTGTTTTTCATCAAGTTACTTAAGGAAAGAAGATGCCTTGCATTTATTTAGCAACCATTCAAACAATCCACATTTAAAATCAATCAAAGAAGAGCAAATTTATTGTATAGAAAACATCTTTAAAATCCGAAACACCTTTGTTACTGCACAAAAATAATACCACCTCAAATGAAGAGTAGGATTTGATTCCAAGTAACTTAGGATAACACCAAGGGATGTTGCATGATGAATACATCATCCAAACTTTTTATAATAGCATTCACTGAGTTGCCAAGAGGTGACGAAGTGCTCAAGACTGAACAATAGTTTTCGTAACACACACAATTCCAAATTCAATGTCTAACAGACTACCATCCATACTCTTAAATATATTTCGGCTGGGGAGGACTTCTTCTTCTTTCTCCCATTTTTCTTAATGCATATGTGAAAATAAATAATGTCTCTAATATACCTCAGGAGTTGGAGCCCTTTTACGCTGTCCATTCAGCCAGCATATCCATTCAACTACAATACCCACATAAACATACATTCAGTGTAAGGAATGAACCATGCAGAAGAACCAACTTTCACAGCCAAGTCCCAGCAACATATCAATAACTCGAAATAACATGTATTTTAACAATCATGAATGGACTTAACAGCTTATTAGAGGCAACTAATGGATAAGAAAAGGTTATTTGATGACTAATGATCCTCGTAATTCAGTACATAATGGAATGCAATATTGTATCAGAGAGGGGAAAATTTCCAAGCCTTAAAATTGTACCTGGAAGTGAGGTTGGATCCTCCTCCCCCTTGAATACTACCCATCTTTTCTCTTTCACTGAAACATCAGCAAATATACAAACTACTAACAAGTGCAAAGAAAAGAAAAGGACACAAATTTACAACAGGAAGAGGAGAGACCCACTTACTGATACCATCGATCTCTTCTGTTCTGGTGAAGTAACGGCTACCTCCTTTGTCTACACCCACCAAATTTCGGTTGCTCAATTACCCAGCAATCCGTGCCAACAGCTTTGACATCTCTTTCTTTCCTTTTTACAGACTTACCAGATACGCACCCTGAAGCATGCATGGTATACTTCAAATCAAATCAAAGATCAATAATTGAATATCTAACCACCAAATTTGGCCTCCTACAGCTTGTGATTATCCATAAAAACAAAACAAAAAAACCCAAAGAGAAATTACCCTTAGAAAACCTCAAAAGAAAAGAAACAGAATGGCAGAGATGAGCTGAAGGAACCAGGGGATCTCATAAGCCTCAAATGACTTGTTCTTTGGCGACTGCAGATATGTCCTCGACCTAATATGATTATTTAAATATCAGTCCCCCTCAGTTTTCTTACGACAAAATTGAATTTATTAATTTCATAATTTTAAAATATATACCTTGAAGAAAATGAAAATAGAACTTTTTATTTTTTCAATTGGAAAATAAATAACATATTTTTCTCTTTTCGTTAAATTATTATTTAAGGTTTTTACATGTCATAGCAAAAAACACAAGTAAAAAAGGAACAATAATCAAAATATTACATAGTTTTTTTAGTGAACATAATTGCTAGATAATTTAATTAAGATCTAGACAAGCTAGGATATGGCATGCTTAAGATAAAATAATTAAGGTTAGTCAATTTAAAAATATTTAAGATTATTAACTATGTAATTACATATTAATTAATGACCATGTATAGAAAAAAAATATTGAAGTTAGTTAATTTTAAAATATTTATAGTTATTTTTATATTTTAAATAAAATAATCAGAATTCTATTATAATGAGGCATAACTTTCCATATTTTTTTTGAAATGAAAGTTAATATACCTTCAAACTACTCTTACAAAAATTAACTTCCACTCTAAAAAATTAGGCATCTTCTTTTTACAATCCTATCCAAATGATTCTTTGATGTTTTGTTTTAAAGTAAATAAATAAGAGATAGAAAGGCATGGTCCAAATAGGTTATGCGTAGTATTTAACTGTTTCAAACATATGGGAGCATAACAAATTAATTAATTATCAAACAATACAACGCAACACGTCACTATATAATAAAACAATGCCAAACAAATAATTACTTGGTAATTGGAACTCCTCTTATCTCCTTATCTATCACTAATTTCCCAAATTTCATAACAAAAAAAGAAAATTATCAATTGTGTCCCTATTTCCTAAAACTCACACACATTTGTCGGCGATGTCAAATATATATATACTAGTTAAAATTAAAATCTAAAAGTATTAAGTTTTTTTACAAAATTATATCTAAAAGTTTTAGGTTTGACTGCAACGCCAAATCTAAAAGTAATATTTATAATAATATTAAACTTGAAAAACCCAAGTTTAAATGCGTCTGTCTGTAATATCAAATTCAATAGTTTTAGATATAGATCTGGCTGCAAAGTTATGTCATAAAAGTGTGATGCTTAAATAGATTAATTAAAAGAACAAAACAAAGAAAAAAAACCAATATGAAGAAAAAAACTAATAAAAAAAAGAAAAAAATTTGAATTAACTGGGTTAACCCATCAAACTTGAAATTCGTGTCATGAAAGTCTGATAACTAAATAGAAAAAAATTTAATATCAACAAACTAAATAAAAAGATTAATTAAAAAGAAAAAAAAGCATCAACCTTTTCACCGTGGGTTGTATTGTGTACTCCATAGTGAAAGACATAAAAAGAAAAGAAAAGAAATTAAAGGTATCAGCTTTTTTACCGTAGACGGTATACAATAGTAAAAAATGAAATCAGAAGAACAAAAGTAATGAGAAAAAAAAAACAATATGAATCAATCGAGTTAACTGCTCAAACCTGGAATCCTTGTCATGAAAAATCTAATAATTAAATAGAAAAAATTTAATATTAAGAAACTAAATTAAAAAAATAAAAAAAAATAAAAATAAAAGATTTAAAAAAATAATTAAAAAATAAAAAAAAAGATAAAAAAAATTAAAAGCATTAGCCTTTTCATTGTGGATTGCACTGTGCAATCCACGATAAAAAGCTTAAAAAGAAAAAGAAAACAAAACAAAGGCATACATCATAAGCTTTTTTTTGCATAAAAAATATTAAGATCCAAGAATGTTATGTATTTCTACAAATATACATTTAAGAATCCTTGATCTAGCTGCAACGCTTAACCCAAGAGTAATATTTATAATATCTATAGTAATATTAAACTTACATGACTCAAATTTAAGTGAGTCTGGTTACAACACTGGACCCAAGAGTCTTGAATGCGAGTCTGACTGCAAGGTCGTGTCATGAAAGTGTGATAATTAAATAGATTAATTAAAAAAAACAACAAGAACAAAAAAAACTAATGAAGAAAAAAAATCTGAATTAATTAGGTTAACCTATCAAACCTTAGATTTGCATCATAAAAGTTTGATAATTAAATAGAAAAAAATTGACAAGTTAACCCATAATTAACTGGGTTAACCTGTCAAGTTTGGAATATATGTTATAAAAATTCAATAATTAAATAGAAAGAAATTTAATATTAACAAGCTAAACTAAATAAAAAAAATTAATTAAAAATAAAATAAAATTCATGGTTATTTCATTAAATCAAGTTAACCCTCAAACTTGGGATTTATTAATAAACTAAATTAAATAAATTTTTTTTATCAAAAATAAAAAAACAAAGAAAAAAGAAAAAAAACCATAAAAACAGAAAAAAAACAGAAAAAAAGGAACACGAATTTTTTTTTTAAAGTATGTTATAATTTAGTTAAAATATCCATACCCACGTGGACTTGCCCGCCAAGCCACAATAACTAGGGATGAACATAAATTCAAACGGTTTGTTTAAACTAAAAAATAAAATAAAAGGACAATCACTCTTTTTTTTTTCAATTATACTTAATTTTTTTTCAATTATTTTTAATAGTAGTTCAGGTTTCCTGGCTTCCCTAAGTTATTTTGGACCAAATAAATCTATTTAATTATATAAAAATATTTTTTTATACTTTAATTTTAAATTTAAATTAAATAAAAAATCAAGTATAAAATATTATTTTTATTATTTTTTCTGTTATCATATTTTTTTAAACGGCTAATTAAGTTATTTTTAGAGCAAATAAGTTAATCAGGTTAAATAAAAACACTCTTATATAATTTAATTTTAAATTTAAATTAAATAAAAAATTAAATTGTGATTTTTTATGTTAATTTTTTATAATTTTATTCTCATACTTTTTTTACATGTTAAGCAAGATATAATTAGATCGGTTAAGTCAATTAAATTACAGATAATATTTATATAATTTAATTTTAAATTTTGAATAAATAATGAGTTTTATCCAAATATTTTAATTTATTAAATTAAATTCAATAAAAATATTAAATAGTTATTATACTCTAAATATTTTTTTATTATATTAAAAAATTATTGATATGACATAAGGATAACGTGACACATTAAACAAATAAATTGAAACCAAGCCAAACCATTTTTTTTTTAAAGTAATTAAAAAAAATAAAAATATTTAAAAAATCATTAGATTCCACTAATTTCAGGTCGGTTGTTTTACAAATATTCTAATCCAAACGACGCACATTTCTTCCTCCCAAATCCAAAAGAAGAAAAGGCAGCATTTCTACAGGTAGAGGCTGGAAGACTCAAGTAGAAGCGTAGAATATCGGAGAAACTCGCCTCGCCATCTCTCCTCATTCCTCACCAGCACAAACAATCCCATCTCTTGAGATTCTTTCCACTCGCAAACATCATCTACTCTTCTTTCCGATTCCAATTTAGAAACCTAAATTAAAGAAAACACAGCGGTGAAATCAATTAATAAAAGCCTTCCATTCTTAAAAATAAAAAAAGAAGATGGCCAGACCTAATCAAGAAGCAATCGAGACGTTTATCAGCATCACAGGCGTCGCCGAAGATGTAGCGGTGCAAAAACTTGAGGTAACCCTTTTTTTTAATCAATCGGATTGTAATCTTGAAGAACTGGAGTGAGATTCATGCTTTGATTGTTGGATTTTGTAATCGGCATGTAATTAGGGTCAGCATTGTGGGCTAAGTAGTTAATAATGTTGATTGCTAATTATATTTTTTGGTTAATTCAAGTGTAATCTGACTATTTGATGTAGCAGACGCAGAAGTTTAGGTCAAAATTTGTAACCAATTTTTCCAAGTTCAGATAATATTTTTAATCATATGGAGGTTAGACTTAATCCGAGGTTTTTGTGATTACTTACTGACTCTTGATTGATTGCGATTAGGAACATGGTGGTGATCTCAATGCAGCTGTCAACACGCATTTCAGCGAAGGAGACAGAAGCGCGTAAGTCTCTCCTGCCATTTTGTCATCCTTTTGTCTGTTAGTTGTTGTTTTTCATCCTTCGGTAGCAAAAATTTGTTCTGTGCAGTTCTCGTGGTATTTTTTTGAGGATTTATGTTGCAATTTTGTTTTCACATGTCCAGCATGCGACAGCCTTCCATTCCTTCGCTGGAAGATGATGTCATGGATATAGATGATGACCCAATTGAAGTTGCGCCACCTTCTAGGAGAAATCCTCTATCAATTCTAGCTGAGAGTGGTGCTATGAATCCGTTCTCACTTCTTGATCCACTTTTTCAAAGAGGTCTATTTGATACTGGTTCTGATTTTATGAACCAGGCACCCTTTGTTTCTCAACCAAGAGAGTTAAGGGAGATACCTATAGAGGTCAAGGATGATAGTGATGCATCTGGTCATTCTGTTCATGCTCCTATTATTGAAGATGTAACTGGAACTGAACATGCACAAGGTCCTGGTATTCAGGGAACAGTCATAGCTGAGGATGACGATGATGATATTGTAACTGACTTAAATGCAGGGGCCACCCAACGGGATAGTTCTCTTGACGGACATTTCAGGCCCAGTGCTCCTGAATTTGATAACTTACCTGATTATAGCAATGACATAGAAGAAGAAATGGTCCGGGCTGCCATTGAGGCTTCAAAGCAAGAGGCTCAGGTAAGCCAACTAAGCTAATGGGTTGGTGCACGCGCTATCTGATTTTTTTTTTCCAGGTAGTTTGTGTTACTGTACTCTA